GCGCCTTGGCTGTCCCGAGCCGTGCCAAAATATCTTCCTGGGGCGTCAACACTCCGAGTCAACGTGACGGCTGCGTCCTGGAAGCCCTAAGTCGTCTGAGAACACCACTATTGCGACCTTAACCTTAGGAATCCTTGATTGAAGACTTGTAAGAATAGTGGCCGCGGTGCTGAGGCGATAACCACATTTTGAAAACCAAAGAAAGGAACCACCCTTCATCTTCGAACTTTCTGCAAATTGTTAAGACGAGTGTGCCCGGCGCTCGGGCGAGGCCCACATTTCGAAACGGAACCACCCTCCATCCCTGAATCGGATGCAAGTGTTTCAAACGAGGGTGCGCGGCGGTACGGCGAAACCATATCTGGAAAAGCACATGGCTTCCATCTTCGCAACTGCTCCTAACACTTACGACGAATTTGCGCTAATCCACGCCGAGGGCCATATTTTGAAAAGCACATGCCCTCCATCCGTGAACCCGTTGCAAATTTCAAGTTACTGGGTCATATCAGTGGTGATGAAATCCCAGGCGAAGCGCCTGACCCACCCTGCCGACGGACGCAATTGTGGGTGCGATCGCGCGGAGCTATGTATAAAGGTCAGGGGAGGAAGGTAGGGAGGAGGAGGACGAGGAGGACGAGGGAGGAGGAGGAGGAGGAAAAATAAATGTAGGAGGAGGAGGAGGAGGAGGAGGAGGAGGAGGAGGAGGAGGAGGAGGATGGTTGACGGCCTCGGCGCCCCTATGTGGCCGACCTCTGGCTCCGCTCGCTGCGGGTTGCGGGCGGTCTCGCCTCGGTCTAGCCCAGAAGGTCACCTGGGCAGCGAGTGAGGAGGGAAGGAAGAGGGAGGATGATAAGGAGGATGAGGAGGAGAACGAGGAGGAGGAGGAGAAAAAAAAGGAAGAGGGGGAGAAGGAGGAGGAGGAGCAGGCGGAGCAGGAGGAGGAGGAAGAGGAGGAGGAGGAAAGGGAGGAGGATAGGGAGGAGGAGGAGGAGGAGGAGGAGGAGGAGGAGGAGGAGGAGAGCCTCGCTGGCCCAGGCCAGCCATCGCACAGGCACGTGCTTGTTTGCGAGGCTTTCACAGCGCATCTGCGCTGAAATCCCCCCTGCAGCCCCAACATTTTGGCTTGCAATTTGCAATGGTTGTTTCTGCTCGTCTTGCCTGGGCGCGAGAGCTCATCGTGAAAGGAGCGCCTGCGCACATCACGGTCGGGTGCGCCGCCGACCAGGGACGAGCTAAAGCAAAAATCAGGATATACCAGTCCCGTGGCGCGACTTCGATGGTCGCTCGTTCTCTTCTTTTGGTAGCTCTGGATGGCATCGCCCAGAACACCAACATGGCAGTCACTGTTGATCGACGCCACTTGCACTCGGATGGTTGCAGTGAAATTTGCCTCTGGCTCGATTCCCCACCGGTGGAGCCAGCGCCGCGTGGTGAGCATCATGGGCGCCATGGCCGAGGCCAAGGTGCAGGAGCCGGACATGGTCGACGACGTGGAGCTCCAGAGCCAGATCGGCAGCATCGACAGCCTCAGCTGCATCCTGTACCTCAGCATTCGGGGTCTGAGGCCACGGGGTCCGAGGATAACTTCGCACCGGAGGAGGGCACGGACAAGCGTTCTGCGGGCCTCGAGTTGCCTCAATATGGTGTTCCAGTTGGTGCGATTAGCAAGGGTACCGAGGACGGCTACGACGACGTCGTGATCCGTGGGTCCGAGGGTGATTCTTCGCCGGAGGAGGGCATGGACAGCAGGTCTGCGGGCAGCGACTCTCTTCCAACTGGTTCTCTCCGTCGGGGTGCGCCTGGATTTCACCCCGCCGCCACGGCTCGCAGTGCCGAGCCCCAGTATGAGCTTCAATCTCAGCCAGAGCCTGCAGACCCCGCACATGTTGTGACTGAGAGCGTACCTGGTCCAGAGTGCATTCAGGCTGCTGAGAACAAGGTTACCATTTTGGCAGAGATGGCGTTGCATCCAGTTTTCCACGATATGGACAGTGCTGCAGCTGAGCAGCTTCTGGCAGCGGTCGAGCGGTTCAAGGTTCTGGAGGCCGAGGCCATCGCTGCTCTTGCTACCGCGAGGATTTTCACGCAGACTTCGTCGTCTACCGCCGCCACGCCCACTTCGGAAGATTTCTCAGGCCGGGTTGAAGCTGCCAAGAAAGAGTTGGTGAAAACCAAGATCAAGTTCCGCCGGTAGATTGACTTGTTGCGGGCCAGGCGCATGTTGCCGTAACGCTGATATCCTTGTCACTTGATTGTTTTGCGACGCTGGGTACGAGTGCGTAGCATGGCATGCTGTGAGAGCGGGCGGTGCAGGTTTGACGCGTCTGACTGTTGCTGGTCGTGGCTCGAATTCTTGGTCCTGGTCCGCGGCTCGCCCCTTGTGGGCCCTGTTTCTGGGGTGGCCCTTTGCCCAAGCTCCCCCCCTGCGGGCGCTCCGCCTCGTCTTCTCTCTTCCTCTCCTGCGTCCCCCCCTTTTTGGGGGGTGCGTGGGCTTTGGGCTGCCCTCTCTGTGTGGCTCGTGGTCTGGGGGGTCCTCGTCGCCGCCTTTTCCATCCCGCTCTGTCTCGCCATCTTCCTAGTCTAGGCTTCGACGCTCCGCCTTCGACCGAACCGAACCGAACCGAGGAGGAGGAGGAGGAGGAGGAGGAGGAGGAGGAAGAGGAAGGGGAGGAGGAGGAGGAGGAGAAGGAGGAGGAGGAGGGGATAGAGGGGGAGGGTGGGGGGGGAAGATGTCCGACTAATTTTCCCCGGGGGGGGGGGGGGGGGAAGGTGAGGAGTGTTCCAGACCTCCCGTTTCTTTGCGGGGGGCGGGAAGTTTTGCGGGGAGCGGCGTTCTCTTGGTTTCTGCCCCCCCCCCCCCCGGTATTTGTTTTTCAGACGGCCAGTGGCGCTGGATCGCGCTCCCTTGGATATCGCAAAACACATATGAGCTCGAATCCGATAATGTTGATAATGATGCTGATGATGACGATGATGAGGATGGTGACGATAGTGGTGATGGTGATGGTGATGGTGATGATGATACTGATGTTGTTGATGATGGTGATGATGACGATGCTACTAATGCTGATGATGATGATGATGATGGCGACGATGGTGGTGATGACGATGATACTGCGGGTGGGGATGCTTGAGTTTGCGATGCTGATGATGACGATTATTATTATGATTGCGATACTGGTGATGGTAATGATGATGATTTGTGTGATGATGATGCTGATGATGGTGATGATGGTTGTGCCGGCATTCATGAAGATGCTGTTGATGATGGCGATGACGATCATGACGGTGCTGATGATGATGGTGTTGGTGATGCTGCTGATGTTGATGACGAATCAGATGGTGATGATCATGGCGATGATGATGCCGATCATGATGACGATGGTGATGGTGATGGTGATGGTGGTAATAAGGATGATGATGATGATGATGGTGATGCTGATGGTAATGGGACGTATTACGATGCTGCTGCTGATGATGACGATGCTGGTGCTGATAATGATGGTTATGATGATGACGATGAGGATGATGTTGATAATGACGATGCTCATGATGGCGATGGTGATGGTGATGATGATGGTAACGATGATGATGCTGATGATGGTGGTGGTGATGAGTTGTATGATGATGATGGTAATGGTGATGATGACGTTGATGATGAAGATGATGATGGTGGTGGCTATGGTGATTGTGATTCAACAGGTGACTATGGTGCTGATGATGGAACTGACGAAGATGCTGATTATGATGACGATGCTGCTGATGATGCTGATTATTAGGATGCTGATGACAATGCTGGTGTTTCTGATGATGATGATGAGGATGGTGCTGGCGGTGATGATGATGATGTTGGTGATGAGTATGATGATGTTGGTGATGATGGTGCTGGTGACGATGATGATCAGTATGAATGATGATGACGATGATGATGATGCTGATGATGATGGCGATGACGAGGGCCTAGATTAGTTGTATGCTGATGTTGCCGATGTTGGCAACGGCTAAGACGATGGTGTGATGATAATGAGGGTGGCCATGAACACGATCCAATTGTAATGATGAGGTGGGTGCGGATGAGAATACGAAGGATGGAGATGAGGATGTTGAGGAGGAGGGGGAGGACGGAGGACGACGAAGACAAACAAGAGAATAGTACACAGGAAGACGAAGGGGAGGGATTCATGAGGAAGAGGACGAGGAAGTGAAGAAAGAACATGTGAGGGAGGAGGGCCAATCTAAACCCGGGATGCTTCTCCAAGCTCATCCGCACAAGTCAATGCACACATGTTTCAGCTACGGGGAACGCTCCCTTGAATGGTGCGCCCCATTGGTCCACCTTTCAGGCGAAAGCTAAATTTTAACAAGGATCTGCCGTCTATACCCTTTTTAGCGAGTTTGACGAAGTCTCCGTCGAGAGACCCGTTTTGAGAAAGAGCCGCCTTCCAACCGTGTAACAGTTGCATGTTGATGATTTTATGGTTGTGAAATTGGAGGCAGTCTCCAGTGGGAGCCCCGTGTTGGGAACGGGCTGCTCTCCACCCGTGTCACTGCTGGGAGTTTAGAAGGTGAAAGGGCCTGCGCTATGAAGAAAGCACCATTTCGAAATCAGGCCGCCCTACATCCGTGAAGCTGTTCAATATTTTCAGCTTCAGGGTCATACGCACTGGGGAAATCGCGGACGAAATGGCCAGCCCAGCCTACGGACTTTTCTTGTGGTGCGACGAGCAGGGGTTTAATGAAGAGGACGTGAGGAGGAGGAGGAGGAGGAGGATGAGGATCAGGATGAGGAGATCTACGATGTGGACCAGGATGGGTGAGGAGGAGCAGGGGGGAAAGGATGGAAAGGATGAAATGATGGGAAGGATAATGGGAAGGATAATGAAAAGGAGGATGAGGAGGAGAAGGAGGAGGAGGAGGTCCTCATCTGTCTCCTCCCCCTCCTGTCTGTTAGTCCTATCCTAGGGCATGGGTGGTGGGGAGCCCGGTTGCCTTCTGGGAAGCGTCCCCGTGCCGCTCGGCGGCGGCCCTCCCGGCGCGGCCGCGGCGCTGGAGATCGGGGCGTGTTCAACCAAATGGGGCAGTCCTGCAGGAGGGAGGGGAGGGAGGGAGGAGGAGGTGAGTTGAGACCGTGATAAGTTGAGTTGCAGGGGTGTGCTGCTAAACGGAGTCCTGGTCAAGCGGAACAATTGTTCGAAAAGTTGTTCTGAATGTTCCGCCCGCGTTGCTGTCGTCAAGGTCCAGGGACCTGTGTTCCGACGGGTATTTTTACGCCCCGCCCGCTTGCGACCTGTACCTTGTTATGTAAGGGCCCCGCCCTCAATGTTTTGTGTTACGATCACCAGACCTCCCCCTTGCGCGCACATGTATACTGGTATGCTTGTGTATGACCTGCAGAAATGCAGAATGCCATGGACGGAAACGTTTGGATCGCGTGTCGTTCTGCCGGTTCTGGCCCACTACGCTGCAGCGCGACGCGCTATCCATTTCCAGTCCTCAGGCGTCCACGTGCCAAGCTTTTCCCAGCCCCCTGCCCCGCGGAGCGGATCGAAATGCTATCCGCTTACAAGGCGTATCGTGTTGTTTGGGCCGCCGCCGCGACACGCTAAGCAATGGTTCCTGACCGTACCGGGGCGTGACAAGTTTTTGAATGCACCCTACTGCAAAGCTGGTCTAACACGCGGCCGTTGATTTTTGCTGGGCCTGGGGAAGATCACGAGAGGGCTGAGTATGTCATTTTGGCACGGGCTCAATCTTTTAAGCCCCACCGAGCGAGCGAGCGGGGAGGAGGAGGAACAGGAGGAGAGGGATAAGGAGGAGGAGGAACGGGGAATATGAACGTGTGGAGGAGAACGCAGGGGAGGACGGGGAACGCGCGGAGGGGGAGGAGGATGAGGAGGCATACGGAGAGAGGAAGTGGCTGGGAGGATGAAGAGCAGGGGGACACGGGGAGGATGTTGAGGCAGGAGGGAAGCCTTCCCCAGGAGGAGCAGGAACGAAACGGGTGTCCAGGAGAGAAGGCACATGCTCTGACAGCCGGGCGAGCGCCACACTCGATTGAGCACGACAGTCGAAGGAGGAACAGGAGGAGTAGGAGAACGAGGACGGGGTGGGGTGCTCAACCACAGGAAGCATTTGGGCAACACGATTAGGCGCTTGAGGAGTTGCAGATAGTACCAACCTTACTACAATATTTCTCCCCCGCTTCCTTTTGCTCTTGATGCTACCAGTGGGAATGGGCATGCTTCAGGAGGTGCTGATTTAGGTGCTCTTCTTCCTGTCTCATATTTCCCCCATCTCCCTTCTCAGTCCACCTCCTTCCTCGTTGCTCCCCCTCCTGCTCTTGTCCCCTCTCCCTTCAGCTCTTACCTCTTCCCGCCTCCCGCATCCCTCCTGAACCTCCTTCTCCGACCTCCCTCCCCCTACGCGTTCACCCCCGCGCTCAATTTTACATCCCCCCTCAATATCTGTCTAGATCATGTGTTTGTTCTTGCTGCTGCTGTTGCGTGCTTGTCTGTCTGTTTGGTTGGTTGGTTGTTTGTTTGTTTGCTTTGAGGTCCTTCTCTCTCTCTCTTTCTTTAACCGCGAGGCTGACCGCCCTGGGGACGCAGGCCGTCTGCCTCCATGACATCCCTTGTGCAGTGGCCGACGCTGCCCAGCGCCACCACGAGCTCGCGGCCGTCCTGCACAACACGGCGGTCGCGATCTACGACCACCGCCTCCGTACCCTCCCGCTGCCCTACTGGCGGGCGTGCCACTCGGCGTCGGACCTTGCCGCCACGAAGCCACCCGGGCAGGGTGACGATGACGGCTGTGACCCGCTAAGGCTGGGCGGGGACAAGGACGCTGCCGACGATGCTGTTCCGTCGCCCCCCCCGAGACCTGCCAGAAGACGACCCTGAAGTCTTGAGGGTCGGCGACTGCCAAAACGGACCCAACGACGTGCCGCAAAACTTGAACGCGGTCCCGCGGGTCGCCCCTCCGCTGATGGCTCAAGCCTCAAGGTTCAAGGCTCAAGGGGCCAAGGGCTGCGATCCCCTGTGAATCACGTTGTGTCCGCGCACCCAGGACCACGATCCTTGTACATCTCGCTGTGTCCGCGGCTCTGCGGCGGCGGCCCCAGCGAGCATGGACACTGGCGCTACGCAGAGCATGTCGGCTCTGCGGATGGGCGCGGACGAGGACTCGGAGGCGGGGCACTTGGAGGCCATCGAGGTGGACGACGACGACGACGACATTACGAGGTCGGGAGCCTCTGCTGCTGCTGCTGCTGCTGCTGGGCCCTACTCGGCTCCTGGTCATCTCGCGCCCGGGCTCACAGTCTCTCTTCGGGACGAGCTCATGGTGGACTTCGTCGAGAATGAGGTCATGGTGCACTTCCCCTGGGTCGCTGCGGCGAACGCGGGGCAGACCGCCACCGGTAGACCAGCGGTCGTCTACCCGACATGTTGGGCGGACCTCCAGGGCATTTTGCAGAAGTTGGGTTATGGAGTGACCGCCGAGGAGGCCTAGCATCTCCTGGGCCTGGCGATGCTCGATGGTCCGGATCCGTCGGAGCTCATGATTGCCAACCGGCGCCGCACCGCCGAGCAGCTCTGCGAGCTCGCTGTGGCCCCTCCATGGGCGGATGCGGATCTCGCCCTCGCGCGGGGGTTCGCTGCCAAGGTCAACGATGCGGCGGCGACCTGCGTGTCTGCGCTGCCCGTGGCTCTGGCCCAGCGCCGGCGTCTCAAGGTGCCGCGGCTCCCCCTCCACAAAGAGCTGGGTGCAGTCGCATTGAGTCTTCTTTTGAGTAATCTGCCGGGGGGGACTTGCATGGCCACTCAATGGTCTGGGACATTGGGAGCTGAGCTCCAGACGGCCTCGGACATTGCCGCCGCTCGACGGTTGGCGGGCTGGGCGGAGAAAGGGGACGAGAGCTTGTGGACGCAGGTCATTGGGAGGCAGGTGGCATTATGGGCCCCCACGGACCAGAATGCGCTCACCAGGTTCCTCTCCCAGTTCATGCGTCGCAAGGCCGCGGCAGAGCACCCAGCGGCCCTATACCTCTTCGCCCCCGTGCCGCTGCAGGCAGGCATGGGGACACTGGAGACAGTTCTGGACCTCTGGCACTCCCCGCTCTTGTCAGGGAAGTGGGCCCCCATCGTGCGGGCATACACGCTGACCTTGACACCCGTGGAGGTGTTGCTTCCGGGCGGTGGGTTCCCGCGTCACGTGTGCCAGGACCTCGCGGTCTCCATCTTGGCCGCACGGAACCGCGGGGGCTCCCGCGCTTGCTGGAGCCGCACGCCGCCATCTGCACCGTGGAGGCGCCCAGAGTGATGGCGTTGGACCTCCGGGCAGACGAATACAACCGGACCATGAACCTTCTCACGAACAGCGTCTTGGAGGGCGTCCTCAGCCGCGCACCGCGGCGCAGCCCATTGAGCACTACTGCGATCCCCCGCCTCTGCTTGGACTGGGTATTGCCTCCAACAGTCCGGGACATGGACATATTTCTTGTTCTCCGGCATGGCCGTGGGAAGTCGTTAGCTTCAGACACCTTCTACGGCCTCCGCCCCGTGGTCGGACACAGGGAGGCGCTGCTCCTGGAGTTCTTCTACAAGCTCGCGGTGCCGCACTACTGGCCGCTTTGTTTCCAGCTGGTCGCCCTCTCGCCCAGCAGTTTCGTCGTGCACACGGAGGCGGAGCCGGAAACATGGACTGGCAAGATGGACTATGTCATGCACAACGACGTTGAGGAGACATTTGTCCGGCTTCGCTGGCGGGCGTCCAAGCATGGAGGCAGGGTGATCGCGGCGCCGTCCGCCACCTCCCGCGGGCTGGCGGCTTCGCGGCGACGCGGCATAGCACCTCTCTTCTTCCACGACTTCCAGACCGACGTCGTCATCCAGGGGGAGGTGGGGAAGGAGGACGGCCAGGGCCTCAGGGTGCTGATGACACACGTAATTCAGGCCACGGGGCTGACGGTCAACGACAAGGACTATCAACGCGCACCGAGGGTGGGGTAGTACATCCACCTAAGCCACCCAGGACCCCGCCGCCCAGCCAGGCCGGCTGCGGGTGCTCCTCTCATCGATTGACGACTTCCGCAAGCTCCACAATGCCCTCCACGGTCAAACCGCGAAGGTGGGGTTCGACAGGATCGGGGTGATAGTCTGTAACGACTTGTTGGAGAACCGCGGAGCACCGGGAAACGGGGAGCGGAGCCGGGCCTGAGTACCCACCGGCTCCATGACCCCGCAGGGTACTCTGGACACTTGCGTGGTGGAATTCAATATTGGGCTGCTGATGGCTCCACGGGCTTCCTCCTCGAGGTCGCGTGGTTCCTCCGCGCTGCGCCGACAGCGTCGAGCAGCCAGCTCCGCCACGAGATGGAGGCCATGCTGGACACGCGGCCGGTTTGTCATTCGGAGCTTCCGCAGCCTGTGAGTGGCGCCTCCTTCTCTTCTTCCTTCTCGCCCCACGAATTTAACCAATTTGCCGACTTCGCATAATTTAAACGCTGGCGTTTCTGACCCAGTTTTTTCAAGTGCCAGGTGTCTGCCAGCACTGCCACCTTTGGCATGCAGAGCGAAGGACATCCTCCCCCGCGATCCAGACGCTCTCATTTGGCTGGACATGCCGATCGCGCTTTACCGGAGACAGCGGCTCCTCCGGGCAGTGGGGGCGCTCCCGAGGACGACTTCTCTCCCAGCTGCACCCCCATGGGTCCGTCCGGCATCTTTGGCGATGTCCAGGCCGGGGCAGTTTCAGGGCGAGTTCAGCGCGGCCACTTGGAACGCCCAGGCTTTCTTCTGTTCCGATGAGGGGCGATTCCGCGCCAGCGTTTCCTACGCGAGCCGGCTGCTGGAGCGGGCAGACATTTTGATGATCACGGAGGCGCGCGGCGCTTGGGGCCCGGGCATGGTGGTCGGCCGGCCCCTCCCCAAGCAGCGCTGGTGTCGGCGTCGTCGTGCAGATCAGCTTTCTGGCCCAGTTCCAGGCTGAGCCTCGGTGGAAGGTTCTTTGGCCTGGACGGGCTGCGATCCTCTCTCTGCGAGGCGCTGCAG